AGAGGTAGCCAAGGAAGAGATGGATGAAGGACACTGAAGAAAAGACAAGTTGTCTTTTTTGAAATCTTGAATAATTACTAGACAAAGAAACAAAATGTATGGTTTCCCAGGTGTAAGTGAAAAAGAAGACAATATTTGCAACTGGCCAAATATTTCAGTATTATTATTATTCCATTATATTATTGTCCCAGGCAAGAACTGAAAAACAAATGCCAAAACTATAAAAATTAACCAAAGTGCAAATTGAATGCAATTTTCTTAAGAGTTAAAGCATTGAGGCGGGGGAAAAAGAAATCTGCCTTCAGGTTAAAGTCATCATGGTTTAGATTTTTTAACATGGATTATCCCTTTAAACTGTCTATTGTCCCACTCAAAGAGTATCAGTGAAGGACTTCTAATAAATGGGGAAGTCTGAATACAGAACTTGCTGCAAAGGCCTGAGCTCTCTATTAATGAAATCAAGCTATCAGTGAGAAGCTAGGAAAATCCCATTTCCCCTTTAGTAAATGGTCTTAGGCACAGACAGCTTCCTCTGTGGTCAGTGAAAATGGACTAGTGACTATCTAGGCTGTTAGGACCAGCAGAAATAAAACCTCTGCAAGGGCTTTGAGAGTCATAAAGGGATAACAGATCATGCAGGTAAAAGTGGAAGTAGACAGTAGAAACTCCAAGCATGAGGCACATTAAAAAAGGCCTCTTATGAGAAAAAGAGGTTGGGTTTGGCACTCTTTCTAAGGTCTCTTTCAACAGTCTATGCATGGAGTCTTTGGTGGCATCCTTTTTCTCATCAGGAAATCAAAGAGGATTACCTTCAAGATGGCAATGCAGTGGGACATGAGACCCCTGAGGAGACAAGAAGAGTTTGTTAGTGGTTACCTGACAAGCCCACCTCCCTCCAACCATCACCTCTGTTCCTTATCCAGCTCTGATCATTGGGCACATCTGGACACCATCTGAGCACAGTAATGCCTCAGAGGTATATGAGCAAGTCCATGAGCTAAATGAGAAAGTACCCTCTCCCCCTTCCTGCCCCTCATCATACCAAGAGACTCTTCTAGCCATGCTTTTTATAACTCTGAGCTTCTGACTGCTCCCTTTGCCTGGTGATCCTAGTGAACTACTTCTCATCTTTCATGACCCAAGTCCACCTACATTGTAATATCCTTCATGAAATCCACGTCCACTTTTCCACTCCAGGCCAATCTAGACATTGCCTCCTCCATATGTCTATTGTACTCTGTACAGAGATCACCTACCGTTTCTAGGATACTGTGTTTAGATTTTCAGATATAATTCTATCTGCTCCACTATTTTCATAACCACAATGCCAGGCCCAGTGCCCTGCACATAATGACCCAACAAATATTTGCCCAGTAAATGAATGACTAAATGACTAAGGAAATGAGGTGGCATACACTGCTCAAATTGTAGAGGTTCCTTTTGTGTATAAAGATCTCTGAATGACACTGAACACAAAAGGTTTATTCCTGGATCCTCAGCATGAAATTCTCTGACATCCCAAGGATAATCCAAGCACATCAGCATGACTTTGTAACAATCTTTGTCACGCATGTATACGGACCTCAGTGTTCAGGTCTACAAAAATGGGGCAGGGACAAACACTATCATGCCACATTCTGATATCCCCCATGGTGATGGCAGGGGTAAGAGCAGTGGGCTCCTGGGGGCCACTGGAGTGCTCTGGAAGGATGCCAGAGAAGAGCACCCAGATCCCATCTGCTATCCCCCACAGGCTAAAAGATGATCTACAGGAAACCAAACAGTCTCCATAGTCTTACGAGGCATCTTCAATCCAATCTTCGTTCTCCAGAATGGCCTCAATGTGAGGGTTGGTGATGACAACATCATCAAGTTCTAATTCAGAGGGCTCAGACTGGGTCTCCATGGCACCGATGAGGTCTACAATGGGCCTGGAAGGAAAGGCCCCAGTTAAGTGGTTTCAAGGTGGGTAACTGCTGATGACCCCTTCCTCATTGAGGCCCACCTACCCCCTAAAAGGATGAAAGGAATACATAAATAAGAGTTGGACCATCCTGAATCCAAACCCAACCCTAGTGAGGACTGAAATCGCAGGTAAGGCCATGATTAGACACTGAGTCAAGGAGGCAGCCCACGGGTACCAAAAAAAAAAAAAAAATTACACAGAGAAGAAGATTAACCACTGAGACAGAGTAGAGCTACAACCACAATAATTAAAACCGTATTAGACAGGGCTGCTCCTTTAGAATGAAATTATATCCTTTTGTAACACATTTTACCTTCAAGTTGACCTTTTAAAAAGTGGTTGAAGTTCATATTATCCAAACCTGCTTACACCCAAACCTGCCTCTACCTGGTTGGCAGAGTCACACTCGAGAACCACCTTGGCCACTCAATACCCCCTCCTCCTAGTTTCACTGGCAAAGCAGGAGAAATAAAAACAACTCCGACTTTTACAACAGAGTACTTTAAAAATAAGACACTATAGCATTCTTTTCTAAAACAGAGCTTTCCTGGATTATACGCATAAAACCACTGCAATTGAGTTGATTCATTGACTCATAGTGACCCTACAGGACAGAGTAGAACTGCCCCCACAGGGTTGCCAAGGCTGTAAATCTTTACAGAAGCAGACTGCCTCGTCTTTCTCCCATGGAGCAGCTGGTAGGTTCAAACTGCTAACTTTTGGATCACATCTGAGCACTTAAACCATTGCACCACCAGGGCTTCTACCAGTAGTAGAAATTTATAAATTATCCACCATTTAACAGAGATTCTAAGGCTCCCTAGTGGTGCAGTGGTTAAGGCATTTGGTTGCTAACCAAAAAATCAGGGTTTGAACCTACCTGCCACTTTGTGGGAAAAAGATGAGGCAGTCTGCTTCTGTAAAGATTTACATACAGCCTTGGAAACCCTATTGGGCAGCTCTACTCTGTCTTATAGGGTCACTGTGAGTTGAAATCAACTCAATAGCAGTGGATTTGGGTTTTTTGTTTGTTTGTTTAGTAGAGATTCTGGTAAGATGAAGTAGATAGAGGGGTAAGAGAAATTAATAGTTTTGTGATCTCTCAAGGATCTGTCCATTAAAATGTCCCCAAACTGAAAACAAGGTCTTGTTTATAAAATATATTTCACCTAAAATGCATCATGAAGGACTCTGCTGTGAAAGAGAGGTTCAGTCCTATGCTGGGGTTCTACTAGACTGGTTGCTGCGTGAATGTGTAGCTGGAATTCAGGCATCTGATTTCTGTACCCGTGAGTTTGGCCCAAAACTGATTTGGCTTGTCCAACCGCTAAGTGAGCTGGCCAGACCTGGATGGGTGACCATGCCTTCAACCCCGGTGAACATATTCAGTCACTTTCTCATTGGCTCAGGTGACAAAGACGACTCAGGATGTTGGGAGGAATGGCATTCTTATGCTCTTAGGTCTTTATCAGGAAGGGCAGCCAGCAGGTGCCATTTTAGAGACAAAAAGCTCAACTGGAGTTGCCCAGCCCTGAACTTCTGTGGCTGCTTTTTTTTTCTTTTGTTAGATCCCAGCTCTCCCCCTTTCCCTTCTAGGGCCCACTCACTTGGAGTCATAGCGCTGCAGCAGGTCTCGGGGCCGGCAGTAGCGCTGCCTGCAAACCACCACCAAGGCTGCAAACGAGGCCAGGAAGATGGTGGCCAGCACGCCTATGGCGACGATCACCACAGTCTCCATGCTTCTGGATGGCTCCGGCAGCGCCGCTCACATCCCCCGTGTGGACTCAAGCTTGAGAGAACACAAGGGCAGAGCAAGCCTAGTAAAGAAACCACAGAAGAGAGGAACACTGGTCTTATCTGGTGGAAGTGGAACATGGGGAGGGGTGCCAGGTTCCCTCAGACCACCTGCAGAGACCTGAGGGCCTCAACAGAATCATGGTGCATTTTACAAGTCATGCCCCAAATTTGCTTTTTCCTTATTTAAAAGGGTTTGCTCCCCAGTTGGACCAGGATGGTCTTTCAAACCCGGGACAAAGAGAAACATAATCAACACTGTTGCTTTCACATCTAAAGCCATGGCATGGAAGAATAGCCACTGAGAAGGGGTAAGGGGGGATGGCATTTTTTGAGGGTCAAGGAGGGGTCGCTATGAGTCAGGGCTGACTCGACGGCACATAACAACAACAACAACAACTCCTTACCAGGCACTTTGTATGTGCTAACTCTTCTAACCTAGCAACCACCCTAGGAGGCAAGTGCTCACATCCCCATTTTACAATTAAGGAAACCAAGCTTCAGAAAATGTAAGCAATTTCTCCAAGTTATACAGTCAAGAAGCAGTAGAGCTATTTTTTAATCCTAAAGCCCATCCATTTAAACTTTGAGCTGAGCAACTACACCAGGGAGATGAACTCCTTAGAATGGTCAACTGTGGGAGATCAGAAGGGCAGCGTTTGCACAGGAAGAAACTAAGCAAACAGGAACACATAGGTAAAAAGGACACAGGAAATAGGTAACCATGAGGAGGAGGAGGAAGGAGAGCTGCTACACTGTAGGGATTGTAGTCAGTGTCATGAAATAAAATGTATCAAACTGTTGAACATAAAACCAATCTGCCTTGTAAAATTACACCCAAAGCACAGTAAAAAGTTAAAAAATAATAAAGATGAAAACTCTGGAAAGGGTTTTGATCATCAGTTTCAGTGTTCTTACAACTGGCATCAAAGTGTTCATTGATCTGTTGCCCGTTTTCACCCAGGAGGGTTCTTTTCCTTTGATTTTAAACTCACAGGGTATCTCAGAGGTGTAAGTACTCATGATGCTATTTCACAGTAGACCTCCTACTTGAATTCTTTTGAGCATGTCTCCTCCCCTCTCTGAGCTTTCGGTTCTCCACTTATAAAAATGGTGGTTTGACCTATGTGTCTCTATGACCCCATGACCTCTTCTATCTGTACTTAATTCTATGCTCCACGTCTTGGAGGGTCCAAATGCTCCCAGTTATCATTCTTTAAGTATTTCTTTTTCATCTACTATGCACCAAGCACTGGTCTTAATTCTGGAGATTGGAGGTAAGTAAGACACTGGTCCCAACCTTAAAAACCTGATGAGGAAGGTCGAGAGACAGGTCATTTCAACTCTATGTGATGTGTGCAGCAATAGACGCCTATGCTGCATACAGAAGGACACAGAAGAGAGAGCGACCCAGTTTGCATGGCACTTTGGGGGAAAGCCTTCTTCACAAGGCTGGTGATGCTTGAGCTGGGTTTTGAAGGACAAGTAGCAGTTTGCCAAGTGGACAAAGCTGGCTCAAAAAGTCTCACAGAGACTTGGGTATACTTCCCACAAGAACAAGAAGGCTGAGATCTGTGTCTTTCATTGTTCTTTCTCGGATTCTGTGGTGTGTGTAGGTTGGAAATTCTTCAGGTGTGCCTCAGGTTCTCCGGACGTGTGTTTCTATGGTCCCTGTCCCTCCTGCTCCACCTTCTTGAGTACACTCTTCCTCTCTCCCTTCTTGGCCCTGCCTCCTCTTTCTTTCCTCTTTTTTCTCCTCCCACCCCCATCTCTCATTTCTCTCTGTCTTTAACTGTCTCTCTCCGTTTTCCTCTCTGCGTTTTCCTTTCCCTGTGCCTCTTCTCCCCAACCCCCCTTCAGTCTCTCTCCTTCTCAGTTTCTTCTCACTCTCCTCCCTCCCCCCGGGCCCTGGCACCCAGACCACCCACTGTCTCCTCAGCGTGTTGTGTGAGCCTTTTTCTTGAGCGGACGCGCCTTCTCCGGGTCTCACTGCCTGTCTGTGATTTGTCAGTGTCGGTGTTTCTTTGTGTGCTCTCTGTGTTTGTTTTTCTCTTTGTGCATTCTTTTCTGCTTCTGCGAGTTGTTCTGTTTCCCTCTTGGGCTGTGAATAAGCTCGCGCCGGCCTTTCCCTTTCTCTACTTTATTCTAAATCTACAAGGATAAAGCAGACCCAAGACGCTTCCTCTTTCTCCCTGCCCCGCCGCCCCAACACCGGCCTCAACACCCAGGACCAAAGCAAGGAGGGAGGGAGCCCCGGCCCAGCCCGGAGCGCGCCGCGGGCTCCGATCCCTCCCCGGCGGGCGCAGAACGCCCGGGGAGCCGACGCCGACCTCCCGCGCAGCTCCAACTTACTTTCCCAAACTTGTGGGCGCCGGGGTGCTCGTGCGCCCGCGCTGTGCAGCCGGAACAAAGCGGCGGCCAGACCTCCCTTCCCCCAAGGAAGCGGGCTGCACGGGCGCCTTAACTCCCCCTTCCCGCCAGCGGGTCCGCCCTCGGGGCGCACCCCTCTCCAAAGATGTGGGACTCGGAAAGGCTCCCCCGGAGCCTCTCTCCTGCCCGTCCGGGGCGCGCGGAGTCCAGTCGGCCCTGGCGAGGTCACCCACCTCAGGCGCCGGCTGCAGGACGCATCCTGGGTCGCGCTCCCACGCCGGGGCCCCCCAGCTGATGGCAAAGTCCGGGCTCGGGACTCCGGGCGGCTCCCTGCGAGCGGAGCATGCCGGGAAGGGAGCTGGGCTGTCAAAGGACTCGAGATAAATTCTCCCGGCTCCGCCAAACCCCCGGAGGTGGGGCGGGAGGGGGAGCGCCGGCCTGAGCATCCAAATCCCCCGCTGCCAGGCGCCGCCGTCACCGCCAGGCCCTCCGACGGCTGCTCCAGACCCGCCGGGGGGTCGGGGCCAGGCGAGGCCTGGGCTGCTGGGAGGCAGTCACTGAGAGATCCAAGGAACCCTTGTCGCGCCCCGTGGCATGCAGAGTGGAGGCGGTGGAGGGTTCCTGCCTCGGGGGTGGCCACCCACTGGGAGACTTGGGGAGAGACGGGGAGAAACAATTCCGACAGTGTGACTGGAACTGAGTCTGCTCTGGTACAGAATGGTTTAAATCCTGGCTTAAAAGCAACTTCACTTTGCTCTGCTCCGTCCTTCATCTGGAAAATAGAGATAATGTCACCGAGAGTTCTGGGACCCTGAGCAAGGGTCCTGCCTTCCACTGACAAAGAATTGATCAGGAGAGGCAAAATGTCCACACAAACCAAAGTTTACTAAAGAGAAAGAGGAAGAGAGAGGGGCTGCCACCTATGCTGCTCTCCAGGCTTTCCCGGAACAAAGGATTTCCTAGGGCTTATGAAGGGTTTGTGTTTGTTGTTTGTTTGTTTTGTTTTGTTTTTTTGAGAGGGGGGAGGTATCATCTTTACTCATGAAATAGGTGGGGATCTCTAGGAAAGGGGTAGGGTTATGACGATCAGATGAGCTGCAGGAAATAGCCAAGATGGATTCCACCACACAGGCTGTTGGAACAAAGATGGAACCGATGGTGAAGGCTGCTGGGGTATTGCACATGCTTGACATCTCTGGACCCTGGTTTGAGTCTTGACCAGGGACTCCTATTCTTGACTGCCTCTGGTGGAAGATGACTTTGTCAGTCAAGTTGAATCTAACTGCGCATGCTCTGCACCTGGTGAGGTACTTAAAGGACAACTCAGGAGGTTTATCAGCATTTTATAACTGGTCAAGGTTGTGGGGATTTTGGAATGTAGCTTCTTATCTTTTCTAAGGGCCTGGCTTGTTAATCACAAGCAGTTCTCTGACACCAGCAGCGATAGTTGTGTCATAGTCTGCATGTAGGCTTAGATTACAAGAATACTGAGTTCGAGGCTGCTTAATTCAGCCAGCCTAATTCTCTGCTTGTCTCACTCCCCCTGAGAGATTTCACACTCACAATTCTTTATGGGGAACGTGAGTGGCGGTCTCTTCTTCTGTAGCTTCTTCAAGTTGGCATAGGGTCATCAACCTGCCTACCACAGTAGAAATCTCTCACTGCCTTGTTCTAATGGTTTACACGGGACAGCAGGTTCCTCTTAGGGAATGAGTTGTAAACCTTGCACCATCATTAGCTTAACCTGAAACTGCCATAACCTAGAGGATCCAAATTTGACTAAAAGCTTAAACAGGCAGGGAGCAAATAACAGTAGGGGCAAAATGGCTACTGCATGTCCTGAGAAAGTTAAAAAGTAGGCAAGGGAAGGCAAGTATCCTTTCAAGTATTTAATCTGATTTCAAATATTATTGCTCAACACAAATGTTTAACAAGACAACAAAAGGAAAAGAAAAACTCCCAGGAGGGGTCAGAGAGATTCCGGGTCCAGGTATTCTGGACCCACGGCTCACAGACACAACAGGGAGAAATTATAGGTTGACAATTACAAGAAGAGATTTGGAAAAAGTACTGGCACTAAGATCACCCCCAAAGACGGAGATAGATGGGGTAGAAGTAATGAGGGGTAAAGAAGGCACTTACCCAACAGGTACCAGTTTTCAAGGGAAAAGGGGAAGTTTAAATTCAAACAGAAAGAAAGGGATGAAAAGCTCAGAGGAAAACTTTAAATGGCACAAAGTAAAATAAAAAAGAATTAAAGTGAAAGAAAGACCTACCCGTGACTGTCCAGAGCTCCTTGGGATCAAGGAGCTAAACTGTCCCACTTAGGGGGAATAACTCCACTTAATGGAAACCCTCGCTCGTGTGATGAGACTGGGGCTGAAGAGAGTTTCAAACCGTTGCTGGCAGCCTCATGGTTCAGACCTGGGACATCTTCCGTAAAAGGAGGAGACAGAAAGAAACAATGAGTGTTGCCATTGCCCGTTTATCTCTTTGGCACCTACCTGGCAGCCTCACGGTTCAACATCCTGCTGTGAGGCTGAAAAAAAGACCTGGCAGCCTCATGGTTCAGACCAGGGACACCATCCCTCTATGAGGCTGAAAAAAAGAGACTAGGAAAAGAAAAGAGAAATGAAATTGGGAGAAAGAAAGATTTGGTTTGTGTGGTGACTTAATTCGAAAAATTCTGGATTAGAGGCCTACTCACCAAGAGGGAGGGATGCAAGACAAATTGAGTCCTGGCAGCTACTTGTCCATCTAATGGGGTCTCGCAGACCTCCCCTCAAAACCAGGACACTTAATACCCCTTCATGGTCATGACGGCAGTCACAGGGCGTCCTGGGACCTTGAGCAAGGGTCCTTGCCTTCTACTGACAAAGAATTGAACAAGAGAAGCAAAATGTCCACATGAACCAAAGGATATTAAAGCAAAAGAAGAGGGGAGGGGCTTGTGAGGGAGAGACGGAGAGGGGCTTCCTCCTACACTAGCCTCCAGTCTCTCCCCGAACAGAGGATTTCCTAGGGCTCATGAAGGGTTTTAGGTGGGAAAAGGGAATCATCTTTATTTGTGAAATGGTGGGGATCTCTGGGAAAGAAGTGAGGTTATGAAGATCAGATATGCGTGCAGGAAATAGCCAAGATGGATTCCACCACAAAGGCTGTTGGAACATAGTAGAAACTGTTGTGAAGTCTTCTGGGATGCTTGACATGACTTATTCTGGGATGTTGCACACACATGATGTCTCTGGACCCTGGTTCAAGTCCCAGCAAGCTGCTCCTGTTCTTGACTACCTCAAAGTGGAAGATCACTTTGATTGATTTGTCAGTCACATTGAATTTTACTGCACATGCTCTGCACCTGGTGAGGTACTTGAAGGACAACTCAGAAGGTTTATCAGCATTTCACAACTGGTCAAGCTTGCAGGGTTTTTGAAATGTAGCTTCTTATCTTTCCTAAGGGCTTGGCTTGTTCATCTTAAGCAGTTCTCTGTCACCAGCAGCAATAGTTATGTGGTAATCCGCAAGAAGGCTTAGAAGACAAGAATACTGAGTCAGAGGCTGCTTAATTCAGCCATCCTGATTCCCTGCCTTCTCAAACAATACTTGTAAGCATCCTCAGTTGGCATGAGGGTTATATGTCTTGATACATGGAATGCTTTAGAAGAGTACCTGGCCCAGGATAAATAGTGAATCAGTGATAGCTCTTGTTACAGCCTGACCCACAAAGAGCGGTGACTAGCACACCCACCTCTAGCAATGTCCCAGCCATTGGGCAAGAGCATAAATGCAGGCTTCAGCCCAGCCCCTTCTGTTGCTACACTTCTCCATCCTATACCAAAAGCGGAGGCATGTACATTCATGGAGGCACAGCCCCACCCTACAAACAGCCATCTCCTGGCCACCTCTCAGGCCCAGAGATGGTCAGACTGGCTGCAAAGTCTGCCTTTGGAAGGGTAGATGTCCATATAGGCCCTAGACTAGTCACTATCATGTTGATTCTGACTCATGGTGACCCCATGCATGTCACAGAACTGTGCTCCATGGTTGGTTTTCAAAGGTTGATTTTTCAGAGTAAGATAACCAGGCCTTCCTTCCAAGGCCCCTATGGGTGGACTTGAACCTCCAACCTTTTGGTCAGCAGCGCAGAATGTTAACCATTTGTACTACCCAGGGACTCCTAGGCCCTGAAGCAGGGCTGTTTGGGCAGGGATCTAGAGTCCAGGGTACCAGGACTAACTACAGAAGGGGCCTGGTGATGACCTGTGGCCCTCAAGCTCCTTGCCTCGTCGGGGAGGGGCTTAACCAGAGTGGGAGCAACTGACAGCACAAGACCTAGAACAGGGGTCCCAGTCACCCAGCTCTAAGGACAGTGTTAGTGGGGAGTACCAAGGTCAGGTTCCCCAACAAGCAAGATAAGCACGGGCTTACTTGTGCTTACTTACTAATCTGTACTGAATAATTTCACATTTTTTCACATCAAAGATTCTGCTTCTAGGTGTGGCTGGTATCTGTCTCTCTCCAACCCCATAGCACCTTCCTCCAGAATCAAAGCCCTTTTTCAAATTTGCAATCTCTGACAGAGATGGAGTATCCAGTAAACAAGGTAAGTGTGGGCTTCCTTGAGCTTACTTACTAATATGTGGTGAACCCATGTGAAACTGATCACTACAGATTAGTGAGTAAATGCAAGTAGGCTTGCGTTTACCTTGACTATTAGGTAATCTGGCCTTGGCAAGTACCAAAGAATGCAAATTAGGTCCCAGGCAGCTTAAAGCAGGGCTTGTAAACCGATAGTCCAGATAGTCCATCAGCCACATCCAGCCTGCGGCAGTATTTTATTTGGCCCACAGGGTTTTTTTTTTTTTTCAATCAAATTAGTTGCCAGCATTTTTAAAAGCCAGGAATTTCACTTAAAATGCTAGATTTCCATCTTCTCTGGAAAATTCATAAGAGCTCTCAAAACTTGGCCCACATTCCACCCATGGCAAGAGTCAGTCGAGGTGGGCAGCTGCTGTCCACAGGCATGCTCTTTGGTACAGCACCATCCCCAGTGTTTGCACAATGCAGTTGGCACGCATGTCCGCCTCACCCTTTTTAATGGCTGGTTCCATGGGCAGCTAAGTTTCCCACCCTTCGCACTCAGAGCAGAGAGGGCTGAGGGGTGACTCTAACACCCTCTGAAGTGCTTTCATGAAGGAGTTAATGAGCATGACATTCTGTGTAAGGAAAATGGGCTGAAGCAAGCAGAAGACAGAATGGATGGCTGGGGATAGTAGTATTTCCATTTTTTGGACATTCTCTGAACAGAATGCGATTGGTCTTTATGTTTAGACATTTACTGGCCTTGATGCTAAACAACACAATATCTTGTGATCTCTTCCAGGTCTGGGATTCTATGACCTTGTAGAAGAGATGTGACAGAAAGCTTTAACCTTGGAGAGTTTATAACCCAAGTGGTAAAGACATACAATGTTTAACAGAACACACACACACATACATGAACAAACAAAACATATAATCAAGTGAAA